TGAGTTTTCGACCGTTTAACGCCATACGTCCCTCCGATATATGGCTCCAAGAAGGTTCCTCTCAGTGTGGTGATATACTTATCAAGATAGACGACAACATGCCTCAGTGTGATGCAACTTGGTCCCCGTCTTTCTAGGGAAGAAGAGGCCCAGATTCGGGCTAGCCAGCCAGCAATCGGCGGATTGCCAAGGAAATTGGCAGGACTCACTGCGTCGTCTGCTCCTACTTCAGAAATCCTGAGACCTACGACAGCTTTGGAGCTAACGAACGCCAACGCAAGCTGTCCTGCTAGGGAAGAACGGTAAATATGGAAGAAAGCTTCCGTGGTGAATTGAACTCTCTGTCCGAAGTCGACGGTCTGGAGGGCTATCAAATGCAATAGCAACATAGTGATAGAAGTTGTTATAAACTGTTAATCGGAGTGGATGTATAGCTTGAAGCGGTCGAAACCGTTTAAATGCTTGTATTCCCATAGGGAATCTAACTTACTGAAACATGTTTCTCGATGTTCTTTTATACGACTAATCTGAAAGTGCACAAAACAGTATTGCATCATCGCTTCACGATATGTTTCCAGTGAGTTGATGGGTGGACGTATACTGGTGAATCGCGCTGTACTATATCATCTAGGTCCTAACCTTGAAAGCTCTGAAAATGTGTTTGTTTCTAAAACATCAAAAACCAGTTGGCAGCCTACGAAGAGTGAGTGTTTTATCCCTCCACACAAGTCCGGCGAAACAATACCGATGGTATGGAAGGCTTAGTCGGCCCTAGCGAGCTCTTTTCAAGATTTATATCTTTCTTAGAGTGGCTGAATTTTGGGTGTGAACGGTACAAGCATTCGAGATTCTCGACACTCAGTCCAACGTAGCTCTAACAGTCCCTTTTGTGGTGCGCCATGCATTCGGCATTTCACTCAGAACTGGATCAGAACAAGTATCCAATTGATTCTTGGACAACGTCAAGTTCGTTATCTTGACGGAGTTCTTGATCCCAATTTTATGAACCGTTCAGCGGAAGCTCTGTTAAGATTGCGCTTCAACCCTTTATGTTACTCCCGTGCACTCAAAACAACCAGAGAGTTTCGAACGTTAAGCTAGAATTCGCTCTTAGAATACAGCAGTGATAGGATCGAAATACATTCCAAATGAAGAAAAGTATAGTAAATTGTAATACCGTAATGCCTTTCGGCGACAGTACGTGTGTGAACAATGGTCAATATTGGGTCGTCCTTTCGTTCGTCCTCGACTTGAACTTCACTGATCGGCAGCACTCGCGTCAGTTTCATCTTAAATTTTAGTCAATTAAAAATCATTTCCCCCACTTCTAGAGCAGGCGCAGTTCGGCGACGGGGAGAGGGGCATTTGCACTTTCGTTGCTTCACTAGTTCCGGTTTACAGGTCTCACTCTGGTGAAACCTGTGAACTCTTGTGAAGCTGGAGCAAGCTCGTCAAGCCATCATAGTATAACCTGTGAACTCGAGAAGAGGCTGCCTTGATGGGCAGGCGTTATATCTCGAAGTGATGTGACAGGTTTACATATGAAGGCGTAGATGGGTCAGAATGTCGAAAGGATGAGCGAAAAAGGCAAAATCCCCCCCCACAACCCCACCGTCGACCGAACAGTACCTCTAGACAATCTCTAAATGCAGACTTCTGAAATATTCGAGCAAAATATTAAAGATGTTGCTGCAGAGATAAACTAGATGGTCAGCCATTTTCGCTATTGGTCATTGTTACAGGGAACAGTATTTGCGGAGTGATCAGCTGGGTAAGGTACCCTAATTAGGCCTTTCCTTCACAATCCCTCGTGTTCTAGTATTTCGTCACAAGCACCGTCTGGATCCCAGTCGTTTTCCGACAAGGAACCGAGGAGCGAAAAACGAATGAAGTGAAATGAACCGTAGCAAAGCTCAAAGGGAATGGTACTAATTTTGCCCTCCACCATCAGAGCTACAACCTCCAAAAACGTATTAGGTGCCTAGGGCGCGAGGATTTACACCCACTTCAAGCTGACTACTGCAGGCTCTCTCGAGCCTGACGGTAACGATGGCCCTCACTTTCTAACAACATTGGTAAATAGTGGTATATTAAAGACACTTCACGGTGAGTGCAAATCGGTCATACAGCTCGTCACGGTGTGCGAGTGAACTAGGGTGTTCACCGTGGCTGAAGTCATGATTTGGCTACTCTTTTATTTACTGTGGCCCACGTAACGACCTGTGGGGATAACTCTGTACAAAAAATCAACAGTACGGTTCCAGATAAGGTGTCTGTGCAGATTCCACCCTCTACATAAAGTGAGGCTAAGAATTCTATGGCGGGTAACCAAGTACATTGCTGGTCTGCTTTCAAGTAGTTGGAAAGACAGATGGAATAACCCGTCTGGCTCCGCGAAAACTCACCGGCGAGCCCACGCGTTGCGTAGCCTTTCGCCGCGTACCGATAGCGCTCCAGCGCCTGACTGAAGAGATGGGGTGTTAAAGAGCTAACCGCTGTAATGGCAGCGCCTGTCAGTGTCCAGCAGGGTCAAGCATATGTCACGGAATTTGCGAGAGGGAGTGGCACTTGGCTCCTTCGTGAGGAGAAGTCGTATTTGCAGAGACCAGCATTTAATACAGCAGCTTGCAGGGGACGCACGATGAGTGATTGTTCGAAAAAAAGTCAAGTACACGGCGCATTCCATGAAGGTTTTGGCGCCTCTATGTTGCAGTTCCTATTCACTATATGACGAGGGGTACGGGAGGCCCGACCGAGCTTTCTATATGGAGATGTTGGCTTTGCAGAGGGGAACGCATCCTCGCCGCTGCCAGCTTGCCCAATATTACTGTTGACTTTTTGTTGTGTAGTGAAGTAGGGGGGAGATCCTCATGCTGCAGCTGAACTGACTTTCAGCTGGAAATCCGCGATGGGCGAATTTTCGCATAGAGCTACAAAAAACTTCTGAAAAACTGTCTCTTCAGTTTTCAGTGCTTTTGTTCGATTGGTTTGGTAAGTTTTCCTAGACTCAGAAAATTCACATAAAAGCACAACATATAAAGCTGTAGCGAGCACGAGCAGATGCCCCACATGACACATCCAACAGTGACTGACGGGGAGTGGTGAGAAATGCGTGACGGACTCCCCTTTCAGGGTGGGTTCGTATTATTCGTCCAATTTTCTGCTGAACGCTGATGCCATGACCTTGGTTATCAAAGTCCTTCGCCAACAGTTGCTCGGCATGCGCCGCGCGCCTATAGTGAGGCTTCTGCTTCTATCAACGCCCAAGTCTTGCGGCTTTTCAACACAAGGCTATTCTCTTCCTAAATCGAACGCTAACCGATCATCATTGGCAGAGCAAGGCCGATGAAGGTAAGCTCATTCCTCCCCTTATGGCACTATCCCGGAAAACTGCGACCTTATCAACCTATACGACGGGGCGGAGCTATAAACGCAGGACGACGACCACTTCGAGAAATGACGTTGCCTCTTGTACAACATGCAGAATGAAAATATTTTCCTATCAACCTTCCTATTCCTTTAGCATTACTAGGTATTCCATGAGCACTTCATTTGGACACCTTGATTTTTGGCCACACTGTGGATGCTCAAGAGATTCCTAAACATGTAAGAATCACTCTGCTCCTTCTCCTACCTTACAATCTCGCCTAGCATTTCGTGGCAGCAGAAGAATCAGCGAGTGAAAGACAAAAATGACGTATTCTTGAATCGATTTTTCGGCGTTCAACCACTGAACATGAGCGAAAAGCACCAAATCACTGATGTCAATTCGCAGACCCTGAAATCAGCACAATTTCTTGAGGCTCTAAAGCTATCATCTAGCGATCTCACCTTCTCCCTAAACAGCACGTCGTTTTGTCGACGTAGAGCATCAATATGTGAAGCGTACTGTTCATGAACTCGCTGCATTTCGTTCACATATTCAGCCAGAGTCTGCATCTTTTGAAGAGCCACTTCTACCTGGAACAGAATACCTTCGTGCCTGCAAGGAGCCATGTTTTCACATTCTGCCCATAGGCGTCAAATGAGCCTGTCTAATTACCCTGGAGGAGGCATTTGAAGGCAAACTGCCTACACACCTCCACGGAACCTAGTTTGCCATGTGTGAGCTGTCGCACGGCCAACCACGCGCCTAACCATGACCAAACGCGCTGCTTGTCTGCCCCCTCTCATAACTGGCTGTTCTCTATCGCGAGTGCGCGTTTCGCTGCGGGACCTGGTATTGATGCAAGTGTTGCACATTAAGATTAGCACAGGTGGAGACAACACTTCGCACATGGAAAGCACCACCCTCGGGAGTGAATGGACATGAATGGCTCCTGGTGCAAAGCTGGGATTACGTAATGAAGATGAAGACATTTGCTCAGTCCTAAAAGGAAGAGCTGCAAGGTCCGCGCACCGTTCTGAAGTACGAGTCTTTTCTTCGGACAACAGAAGTCCCAGTTTCACCCAAGATTCTTTCGAACTACCCTCCCCGATTCCAGCATTACGTGGTGGGGAGTAATTTGGGGGTGGGGAAAGCGGCTCCAAAATGGGAGAGTTGGCTCTCCGCGTTTTTTTAAAGACAGTTACGGTTGCAGCTCGGCAAGCGCTACCAGGAGGCGTGGAATCAGTCGACTCATGGGATATTTTCCTACCAATAGGGTTCGGTTCAAATATAAGACGACCAGTGTTAGAAAACGCTTCTGCGAGAAAGCTCATTCCATGCCTCCTGGCACCACTTCGTCGTATTCCGACGATATGAAATGCACCCAAACCGGCAACTCTATCGGTGCGCGCTCACGACCAAGTGTACGCCCGCACTCCCCCCCCCCTCTTCGAGATACGGATACGGACTGTATAAACCCAGTCAGGTCACTCTAAGATGGGACGATCGATGCCTGTCACAAAAAAGAACAAAGAATCGAGATATACAGAAAAGATTTTTCCCTCTGACGTATAAATGGTCTGCGACGTCCCACCAAAACCAAGGTTCTGCCGAATGTGGGCTAAATCTGAAACAACGATCGAATGGCCCCTGAAAGAAATCATACCTGCTTAGCCTGGAGACTATCCTGATCACAGCAAGACTGAATAGCTCTCAGCAAAAGAGGGTACTGCACGACTCGTTGAACTGGCTTAATCATCCGCGATTCATAGGAACAGTGCTGCTCCTTGGAGCTATTAGCTGCCTATAAAACTCATTCCTCAATAATTTAAGCCTGTAGTAGGAAATGCGGTGAAAAGATGAATATAGCAGTCCCAAATGAATTAATAAGAACATTTTACTCGGAAGGTTTTCTATCCTTTGTCAAGTGGTCTATGAGGTTGGTGCGGCGCTAAACCCGTTTTCCACCAGTTGTTGGAGCAGTTAAGCGACAACAATTGGTGTAAAACAATTGATACTAACGATATGGTTCAGTCTTGTTGCTTGCTCGCTTCAACAACTGGTGAAGAATGGGTTTGGCGCTGTTCCAAACTCATCCCCTCCGACACTCCTCTGTACGTCGACATACAGAAGTGTATCACGGCAGACATATTGCACCTATAGGGCAGGGCATGTGGCCAAAGAAATCAGATGGTTTTGAGCACTGGCTGAGCTTTAGATGATG